CTCTTTTTCTGGGAAGAGAGAGGCTGATTTATTAGTTTTGACTGCTTGGGATTGGCAATACAATACTTGCAAGTTGATTGGGCTCCTGGACACAGGGAGAGACACTGACAGAGACCAGGAGTTTGAGACCTCTCTGCATGATGTCCCCAGCTCTTCTCCTTTGTGTGCCAGCCTTGCCCACAAAGAATTGAGATAGATCTGTCAATAAGGTCTGTAGTTGAGGCTGCTCTATAAGCTGGCTGTTTCCTAACCAAACCCCTAGACCAGGCATGTCCAAAGGCCTGTGTTCCGGTTTAATACGGCCCCCCAGGTAATTTGGCAATATCTATCTTTTATGGCCCCCAATGAATCCATATGTATTGAGATGAATACATTGTAAAATCTCAGTTAATGTCAGTTGGTCTTAATCAGTTATAAATATATTTGGACACAACATGTATACTTGGTGTTATGTTCCTGTTCATATTTTTTTAACTTAAAAGTTGATAGACAACCTTTATTACCAATAATATGTAATGTACTTTACAATGTTCCTGACATATATTTCAGCTTCCTGGATTTTTTTTTCATCTGGCCTTCAGATATGAAAGGCAGAGTGATTTAACACCTGTTTAGATTTGTCATCCATGTGACGAAATGAAAAGTATGCCGTTTGCAATAAACTTTGCATAAAATAGTTAATTTGCATTGAATTTTAATGGTTCAAAGAATGTCAGGCAAAATGGTCGGCCCTCACGCATGTTCACTTCATCAAATCTGGCCCTCTGAAAAAAGTTTGGACACCCCTGCCCTAGACAGAGGGACTCCGCCACTGGAGGAGCAAGGGGCCATAATAAGCAAAGTGAAACCAGCTGTGCTAGGCAAGGGAGGCTGTACTAAAAAGGGACTCCAGGGTCTCTTAACAGGAGAAGCAGAACAGCAGCGGGGGAGGAGTCTGGCTGTTGGTGGCGCTTACAACTGGGTATTCAAACACGGACCAGCAGCTGCACTCAACGGGACACCACGAACGTGGGTATTGGGGCATCGTGTGCACCGCAGTCCCGGCCACAGGCCGCGCACCAGTGCGGGGCTCCCAGCTCTTTCTCCCCCACCTCCGGTGGCTGGAAGCCGCGCTCGGTCACCCCAGCGCCCGGGACGCTCACCTTGGCCCGCCCTGGCGACCGTCACACCAGTGCGGGGGGGATCCCACACCTGCCTGGTGCCCGCTGGCATTGG